TTTGTAAATTTTTTTGATCCTTTTTAAATTATTTTTTTTTGACCCCTCTCCCGTTGAGGTCCGGGCAGAAGGCTCACTTCGTCCTCTGCGCTCTTCCTGGCCAGGGCGGACATGCCACCAAGGTCCACGGTCTTCACCTGGGCTTTTGGGACGAGCTGCGCTTGAATCTGGCACCGCCATGCGACTTCCTTCCCCGTCTGTTTAGCACCAACATGTCCCCCGACACTCCAACCCAGGCAGCCCTCACCCAAGAACCTACGTGACCAGCAGGGCACCACTCGCAGCACTGAGGTTTCCCTGTGCTTCACCAGCACGGCGATACCTGGGCTGCGATTGGAAACTCGACAAGCTGCTTGCTGAAGTCGGTCGTCCTGTGTTACCTGAATCCCCGGACCTGGCCTAGTCATCAAGCGGTACGATCTCAACACTCGATACGTCCTCACTCCATTTCGCATTGCAAATTAATTGGACTTCTCGGTGTTAACCATGGACCGCTGCAAGTCTGCAGGAACCCGGAGTGCTGTAACGGCCTTTGTCATAGCAGCGCCATTTGCAAGCTCAACGAGCCTACTCCGGACAAGAAATCGCAATACCCAGTCCAACCCTGCGCCCGCGCCGACGGAACCGTGATTCGATCTCCAGCCGAATGCTGCCGCACACAGGCACACAGCCCAGATCCCAAGACCCGCGCCGTAGGCCCCGCGGCCCAAATCCTTCTCCTTCCTTGGGATGCTTGGAGATGCGCCGGACACTCGAAAGCTGAGCGGAGGGCGACTGAAACGGCCGGATCAGATCACTGGTGCTTCAGAGACGGCAGGGTCTGCTTGGGTGTCAGACGATCTCTGAAAACAGCCCTGGGACCGAAGCCTGTGCCGTTACCAAACAGACTGTCCGGGGCTTGTACGCATAAAAAAGCAGGACCAGGCCCCTCGAACACCTTTTTAAGAACGCTCTTAGTCTCTTAACAAACCCCGACAACTTTCTGAAACTCCGGAGAAGACGAAAGGGCAACATCTGCCATCCAGGCGTCACGAAGTCCGCCATGCTCAGCGTGGTGTTGTTCATCTCCATGCTGGGTGCCACCTTGAACTCATGTGGCTCAGCGTATGCATAACTACGGAATGCACTTTTCATCTTCCCAGTTTCTGCTCAGGAGTGAGCCTGGTGCAGTCATGGAAAGAGTTTCCGTCATCGTTCCGAGGACAGCAGGTTGGTATGGATGTTACGAATGTTCGTCATGTTGCTGGCATGGCGGATGCTGAAACACCCAGACAAAACTGGAAAATTCAGTTTCATCCAACACCCTGGAAGGGCAGCCGAATAAACGTGCTGAACCTGAACTGCGTGGATGAGCGGATGAGGCGACGAACCCCAGCATAATCTTGCAGATAAGGGACGGCCGACTTCACCTCAGCTCCAAGACGCATTGCAAAGTCGGGACGGGGTGTCCAAGCACCGGTCAGGCTCTGAGAAGGCTTGACGAGGGCGAGTAGACTTCAAGCGACTAGGTTCGATGGCAGCTCTTCTCTCAGCATGGAAAACGCTAGCTCCCTTGCTTTACACGGCTTCGATGTGCAGCGGCCTCTTGGAACAACAAGCGCTGTGCGCAACAGACGTCTCTCGGCCTTTCTGCATGGGTTCGGTTACCTAGAAGACCTTGAAGGCTTCGTAGGATGTGGGCTCAGGCTTCGGATTTTGTAGGGCTTTGAGGCGCTCAGCCCCTGCAGCCAAGTTGCGGGCTGAAGCTGCATCAACTCTTCAGCGGTGGCTCGCTCCTGAGGCGACAAAGGAGAGAAGCCCGTGCTTTTCCTTCCAGGACTATGTATGTATGGCATGTATGGCAAGCTGCATTGGCCTGTAAGTACATAATATGGCGTGTCAAAGTCTCGCTGCTAGGCAAAAGGCAGGTGTCCGCCCCATCATGCGGTTGGATGATCATCGGCAGGCACGCCGTGCATGAGATGAGATCTCTCCGTGGCAATCAAAGCTACTAACACTGCAGGCAGAGTAAGCCCACGCCAAACACCGACAGCTCGGATTTAACCTCACACACGAGCACCTCAAAGATTCAAGTCCGATCTTCACACGCGAACTCTACTGAGTCCTCCGGGTTCTTGCTCAGCGCGCGGCGGACAACCTCGCGGCAGCCGTGGCGGAGGACCCGAAGCTGGAGGAAGAGTCGTGCGCAAGTCTTGCGGGCCATGCTGCAGTGCTTACAGTCAGACACTTTCGGGCAGCAAACCCAGGCTGGGCGCTTCGATTGCCGACACACCGCAGCTCTCTGTCTTCAGGGGCAAAGGCGGCAAGAACAAAACGAGCGCAGCAAAGGGAGCCAAGACACATCGCGAACTTCTGCCCGGCAAGAGTCTGGAAGCGGGGCCGGCTCGGCATTCACGATCTTCATGATCCTGTTGTGCAAAAGAATCACATCATCATCACCATCCATGGTTGACAATTCGCTCAGCTCAAGCAATGCCGGAGCGGCAGTGCCGCGACGTTCGAGGCCGTAAACGGCTGCACAAGCGCGAGCATCTCGTAGAGTACCACGCCCATGGACCACACCTTGGCCAGTCCCCAGTAAATGTCGGCTGCAGCTACATCCCTCCCCCGTCCCTCCCCTGCCCGTCGAAACAGCTTCGACCGTGTTGTCTTATGCACAGGGTTCGTGCATCCGAAGAGGCCCCTGATCTGAAGTCTATAGAATGCTTCAGCTCTCCAGCTGTCCACGCTGTAAGTCTGTAAGCTGTCTGTCCACTTCAACGAAGCCTGCCACAAGACGCGCCTCTTCCAATGCTGACCGGGCACATCGATCTTGGGCCCATACGGCTTGTCCTGGCCAGGGGGAACCGAAGTGCTCGGTGCTTCTTCCGGGAGGCTTCGATGCCACGTTCCAGCTCCGGGGTCCCAGGCCGGGGCTCTGAAAGCAAGGAGTCACTCAGCACAAAATCGCAGTATCCCAGGCATGTGAAGTTGAGGTCGCGATCGGAATACGAGAGCCCGACTTTTTGGCAGGTACGCGGAACCCCGAAACAGTCCAGGAGCCCTGGCCGTGGAGTTTGGATCCAAGTCAAACACCGGAACACCCCAAAAAGCAAACCCCCTTTTTGAGGTGGCAACACTCCCTGGTTCTTGGTAGGGAATGGGGGAATGGATCTCTATGATAGTCCCTTGAGGTCCCCTAGAGTAGTCCCAAAATCCCATTCTGGTCCATTCCCTACTAAGGTCCCCGTCAGAAAAGGGGGCCTCACAGATCTCCGGTGCAAAGTAGGATGGCCTGGGCACTTCCCGGGCAAAACTCCTCGTGCATGTATCCCGCACGCAAGTTACGACCTCCTAAGCACCTCCGAGAATCTGAACTCAAAGCGAGAAACGATCACGAGCGGACCTGGCGAAGAATTTGAGCTCCCTCAACTCGACACTCAAAAATAGCCCTGAAGCCTAAACTCCGCTTAACCTTAAGCCCCTTTTTGCAGCTGGTTTGCAGCGACTCAACCAGGACAGAAACAAGAGGTACACAAGAAGCAGACAGCTTTCAGCTACCAGTAGAAGCCTTCGGACTCGCACCAACCATGCCTCCGGAATGATTTCCAAAATGACGATAACCTTCAATTGCTTGAAGGACTCGTTGGACACACCATGCAGGGCACTGCGCATACCATCATAATCGTCTTGACTGAGACCGCAAAAGGGTTGTATAGCATCCGACCCCTGAAGCCATAAACTAAAACTATGCAACCCAACGCCAGGAAAAACCCGGGCTCCCTAAGCTGGGGCCCGGGACGTGCCAACCACGGTGCCCTGGGCCGCCGTGGTCGTCTCGATGACTTTCGAAACTCAGCCAAGGGTTGGGATTTCGCCCCAGGTTTCGAGGGGTTCAGGGCCCGGTCGTGCCAGGCCAGGCTAGGTTGAGGCTTTTGGGGGGGTGCAGGGTTTTAGAGGTCTCACTGCTTCAAGGCTGTGCTGAGTTGGGGCTTCAAAGCTCGGTGCCGCCTTCTTCGGCTTCGAGACTTTATTCGCGCTGGATTGCTTCGTGATGGTGCGTTCGCACCTTACACCCTCAGTGAAGAATTCCTGCCAAGCAGCTGCCAAAATCGCCTGCCACAATGTGCAAGCTCTGGTGCAACCCACGTCCAGAAACAACAGCGAGACATCGCATGCGGATGAAGGAGCAACTCCGAATCTCTGCGGGGCGCTCCAGCCTATCTTTGCCTCGCCAGCGGCCATCATAAAGATGTTCTGCGACTTGATATCGCCTGGGCACATGGCATGAGACGCATAAGCCACACACTACTGTTACTAAAAGCCAGCAGAATTCTCATGGTGCTGTGGCAGCGCCGCGTGGAACATCCTAAACCCGAATCCACCCCTCCAAGCATCCCAACAACTCACAACCCCCCAAACCCTCCTTTCTCTGCCAGGCGGCGGTGAAGGATCCGCTTGGAGTGGATGAACTGGAGCCTGGGCCGTGAAACTTCCGGCCGAACACTTTCTAAGAAGCATCAAGCAAGCCTGTATGGTGATCTGAGATCTGCAAAGGAACAAGGGAAGACATGCCCCACATGATCTACACGTGGTCTGGCATGGTTGCTGGGTGCTCAAGCTTAGGGGCCGCATGCCGAAACACCCCAGCTTCAGCATGCAGGCACTATGCTGGATCTGCGGGAGGAACATTCATTGAGGGCATCTGTCATTTCCTGCCTCAATTCGCTCAGCTCCACCGAAGAGTCCGAGTCCCAACTGCTACATCGTCCCTGCCTTTCGAAACTTTCGCGGTGCCCTTGCCGTGCAGCCGGGGGACGCCGACAGGCACTGTGCGAAGATGGTCATGGCCTCGTCCTCCGAGAACGTTTCCTCGTCGTCCTGCGGTCCGAAATATTTCTTAAGGGTCTCAGAGGAAGGCACCGAAACGCTCAACTTGGTGCCGGTCCTTCTTCTGCCTGATCAAGCTTGCCAAGTCCCCTCCGTCCGCATACTCCATGACTATGTAAAGGGTGGAGCTTCGCATGAACGTATCCTGGAAGCATCACAGCCATCCCATCGTCATCCCAGCTCTCACCGGCTTGAGCTACCCACGCTAAATCCCTCCTGAAGCCACACTTTGGTCGGAGAGAGCTGTAGTCCAACGCAAATGGACTCCACCCCAGACACACTCCGATTTTTGAACCCATGAAACCCCGAAGCTCGGAGACTGTTTGACAGCCAAGCATCGAAGTAGGCGATGATGTGCCTGTGAGTCCTCTCAGCACTGGAATCTGCAATCTGTACCACGCAATTACCCATCTAGGTCTCACCCTGCGATGCTGAAACCTTCTACCAGCGTGGCTTCTCCTGGCTACCACCACCATCGACACCATCCCATCATCATTATCATTGTAATTGTATCACGATTACCATCATTGCCGATTGCCGCCACCACTGGGCGATCGTTATCGTCATCGTCATCACTGGTGTGACTGCTGTTGTTGTTGTTGTGGTTGTGTTTGTTGGTGTCGTCGTTGTCGTTGCGGTTGTTGTTGCTGGTGCAGCTGCTGTTCCTGTTCCTGCTGCTGTGGCTGTCACTATTGTGCGGCTCTTGCTGTTGCTGTTGCTGCTACTGCGGCTGTTGTTGCTGTTGTCGTTGGTGGTTGTCGCTCTCGTCGTCGTCGTCGTGGTCGTGGTGGTGGTGGTGGTGGTGGTGTTGGTGGTGGTGGTGGTGCTCGTTGGCGTTGTCGCTCTCGCTGTTGCTGTCGTTGCCGTTGTTGCCGTCGTTGTTGTCGTTGTTGCTGCTGCTGCTGCTTCTTCTGCTGCTGCTGCTGCTGCTGCCACTGCCACTGCCACCGCTACCGCATGTGGCGACGGCGACTGCTGACCCTGCTACTAGTATCACGGTCAGTGGCAATCGCCGTCGTCGTGTGGT